TTTGTACTACAGTCACAGTCATAAGAAAAGCGCCTCTCGTACTTCGTTCACCCGACATTGAATGGATGGAAGGAAAACAGGTTGGAATCAAATGGGACGCAAATAAACTGGGAGACAAGTCCCAAGATGTCAATATTGAAATGGCAAACTACAAAATAAAAAGCGGTGAAATACAACTAGATGGGTTTGTGTCCATATCTACTCAGGAAAACAATGGCACGGGTATTATCACTTTACCTACTGAAGGAGCCGATGACATGTACGTATRTCCWAAGTCTACWTCTTAACARCCACAGGAAACCCAAATTAGCYTTTCCRTTATAAGAGMGAGGGGGACAGGACGTAGATCGAAGGAAGCGCGGGTGGTTTGGGCTGTTAATGCGTCCCCTATAATAAYCTATTATGCGCTTTTTACCGCAGCACCTACTTATCTTTTCTATATTSCAGCGTCAAAGGCAACAGTGCTAGATCAGTGTCGTTAGTCCGTGTATCAAGGAATGCAGCAAAACAACCCCTTGACGATAAATCATCTAATGATTGGATATGGAGTGATGTGTTTTCAGTCATGAACTCATCCAAAGCATGGGATCGGTGCAAGTACTGGCAACAAAACGAACCTGATCCAAATACATTTAGAAGTAGGTATAGGTTTAATCTGTAATCGAGGTTTTGCACCATCGCGTGTAGGCACCCATGTTATACGGCAAAAACATTGCAATCCTTCCCTATGAGAAAAGATCCAATTCCCTAGAGTAAACTGAATTTCTTGTTCTKCTATCTAACATGGCCGCAGGCACGTGAGGATGCAAAACCTGTGTAGACACCACTAAAATACACCTAAACTTCGTGTGAAATGGCAAACTTTACTTCATGTTTGACGTACATAAAACGTATCTAGCATGACTAAATCTCCCAGTAACCCCTTGCGGGGAAGGGGGATCTAAACAGAAAGCCCAAAGTCCACTACACCTGTATTAGCCATTCAGCAGTCGATCAAAAGCGGGGTCGGCGTTGCAGTGCATCGTGGGACTATTTTAGGGRRWATWTTWWARA